CCAGCAGCAACACTCAACGATACGTACTCAGTACATCGTGTATACGTTGAGACGCAATTACGGTAGTAAAAAACTGATAATCATTCTAATGCAAAACAGTTGACCATAGCACTCACCATGAAAACTGGCAGCACTGATACTGCCAGGAACTGTGCGTGGACTACCATGTCATGAACGTCGAACTTGGCGATCAACACGCCGATGAGGACTATATGGCTCAGCGCCAACGACACGCAAATACACTGAAAAATGACAGTCAAAAAAGGCGGAGCGAAGTTCCTCTTTTTACCATAAAGTGATGCTTCCAGATCAACCCACCCGTCTCGTAGGCGTGAGTATGCATATGCGCAAACTGGTAGGTGAAGGCCACCCACGCGAAGAGGAAGAAGATCGCACCGGCAACTGAGATGGAGAGAATGCAACGGTAACTTATCAATGATCAGACTTGCCTAACACGAGAGGTGAGATGACCGCAAATGTGATGCAGATGTTGAGGACCTGACAAAAAGGTGATATTCGGAATAGGGGAAGCTTCTCGAGCAGAGACGGAAATAGGAGTTGTTTCACTTCAAAAAACACTAAAAATAAAAAGACTATTTCGCCACACTGTGTCGGTCAACTCTTTCAAGAAAACTATAAGTATAAAACCCCGTAGAGTTCAAGGAGCCGATATTAATAACTGATTTTCAGTTCGATACCTTGACCGAGTCGACTTACGAAGAGGATATTAGGAACGTCTTCACTGTACAAGACATGTGCCAGATCCCATCGTGTTGGAGGGGTGAGCTTATTCTCGTATATAGGTGGTAGATCCATGCCTGTACATAAGGTCAACATACATGATTAACGACTATGTCATACCGCTTCCAGGTGCTGCTGCGGCTTCCTTCTTTTCCTCGTTGTTTGGATGCAGATTTTCGATCGGTCTGCCGTCCTCTATCCAGTACTTGCGTTGTTGAGGTTCCATACGGAAATACCCAATAAGAAGATAGCACAGTTCATAAGGGTGGAACGTGGCCATTCTGATCATCACAGTTGAGCTTATAAGGAGCACGTGTCCTACCCAACGTTAGTGACGATCTTAGCACATACAACGGTGATGAAGTATACTGCCACATTTGGAATGTCCTGAGAGAGAGAACACGATGTTCGCTGCAGCTCAGCTGCACTCAGGAATTCCTCCACTAATACATTACTACTACTACTACTACTACTACTACTACTACTACTACTACTACTACTACTACTACTACTACTACTACTAAGTGCTACTACTACTACTACTACCAACATCGAACGTCGACCTGAAGTAGTTGTAGCAACCGGGTACCGTGAATGGTTATACAAGCCTACAACAACTATACCTATACTACTACTACGTTGTAGCAGACACGAACAAAAAATTGCGAAAATTTCTTCATTTTTTCCCATCATCACCACGTAGGGCGTATGAATATCTCCTCACCTTCCCAATCGCCTTCAGCAAACACACCGTAGTATCAGCCGCTGAGTACTTCTCCCATATATCTCCTATATTCAACCACAGCTCCCCCAGCACCTGCAAAACCCGGTCTAGGCCAAAACACTCAAAGGGATCACCGTACGATGACGTAAACTGTGAGCATTTGGAATACGAAAAATCGTCGAGCGACATGCATCGTGACTTCACTCCTCAGCTTGTAGCGTTCATAGCTGAGATATAATCTCAATAACTCCGCTCGACAACTACTCTTACTAGACTGCTG